TCTATTTATCTATGTATTTTAAGCGTTTAATTAAAAATATGTCGGTGTAATGTCCAATGTGTAGAAGGCGACCACCATAGAATTGGTGACTAACATGACCGCTAATCCAACATAAACCAGATAAGTGATTAAACGCGTGTAGGACCGACACGCATCACTGGACAATAGAATTAGATCGTAATTGGATCGAAATCGCTGCGGGATTGGAACTCGATATAAGATAGATAGACGCTTAATTATATTTTAAGCGCGATTCCTAAATCAATGACACCTAGATTCAATCGATAAAGCAACAAAGAACAATAATATGTTTTGTGCAATATACGATTTAATATATTTGAATTTAGAACACGGAATAATGTGCAGAAGCAACTCGAACAAAAACAAATTTATATGAATTTATGCAACCAGATCATTGAATTTGAAAATTGTACGCAACAATGTATTTTATGTCTAATACAGCTACTACGATATTTTGCACGGTGATATGTTTCATTTACATTCATTGTGTTGTTATTCAACACAATAAATATGAATGACAAAACTGAAATATGAATCTCTGCATCCAACCCCATTTTAGGTGGACACATAATTTCATATTTTATATAAAAGCAGTGTCGACTCTTAAGTAACATAATTATTAGGTACATGCTATCTATATGAATATTTTTTCTCTTAAGAGAAATATGGCAGCTTCAATTATAACAAAACTTGAGAATAAATCCTTGTACAAAGTCCCTGAAGCGTTGTTAATAATTCCACATATACATATATGACATAAGTAGCTACATATTAAAAACGTCTACCCCATTGCAATCTAAACGATACATACTAAGGATAAAAGGCAACAAGTACTTACTGTAGAGTATCAATAATATAACTACATATTTAAATAATTTTTCTAATCTATCTATACTTAGGGATATTTATTATTAATACCTTTCACGTGGAATACACTTTAAGCTTTCTATTATTTGTAAAGTGAAGTATCAAATAATTAGCAGTGTAAATTAAATAATGTGTGTAAAAGATTATAAATTTCTTTTGTAAATACCAACCTTTAAATTAAATCTAAAGATTAGACTATTATCATTACTAGAATAAAAATGAACTAAGCAATTACGTAAGTACCACTATATAAAGAGTCGACACTCCTTAATATTGATGAAATTAGAAATCGTATATATGTAACCACTCAAATATAAGAACACAATAAAATACATTAACATTCATAGTGTAATGCATAAATCTGTGCAAAATACACTTTTATTGAAGTGACGCAAATTCACACTAAATAATAGTTCCCGCCAAAGGCATTGGTATTTAATTTAATACTGCAACATATAGTAGGCAAAGGAACACTGTTCAAACAGGCTATAGATAATATTGAAGGATATTTGCGTATTTATATAGATAGAATATATTATTATGGCAAAATCCCCACATTCAATTTATGATTGTGATACACATTGCATTCTATGCATGTATATATATATATATATATATCTATATAGCCTTCAATTATCAGTACGAGCAAATGGAGTCATGATAATTATAATAATATGTCTAAATTGTCGATGAATGTTAGTGATGTAGTACGCAACACGCATATCGCGAGAAATAACGTAAACGCATTTGCCGAAGTGTTGAAATATGTGCAGAATCTATTTTAATTTAAACTTAGATAATATTTTAGTTGGATTCATCTAATACAAAGAATGTATTCATACTACATCTAATAAAAAGATTAAATCATACTATCTTTCCCATTTCGCTTGAATACTTTCTTTATTGTTATTATTAATTAGAAGGCTGTCATAATTGTTTTCTCTTTTATTTGATATGTATATATTGTATTAAAAACATATAATAATAAATAAATTATTTATTATTATTATTAATATATAATAAATTATTATTATTATTATTAATATTGTATCTTTCAAATACATATATAATGAATTAAAATTGTTTGATTTCTGCGCTATCGGTATACACTGGCGGGGCACCAGTGAGGGGTGATAAATGAGTACGAAAGCAGGTCAGCTAGCCTATCATGACGAATTCCACTAGAATTAACCACGATGGTTTCCAGGGAGAACCGCGTGGAGGTCGACCTGATAGGATGTATTGCTAGCAATGGGTCAATTAGACTCCATTACTAACAATCCCTTTTCCCCCACCGCAGTTAGGTTTTTATTTCATGGATGATAATGGAATGCTAACCTCGCCTGTGCTATCGGTATACACTGGCGGGGCACCAGTTAGGGATGATAGGAAAGGATGAAAAGGCAGGTCAGTCAGCCCATGGTGACGAATTAAATAATAAATTAGCCACAATGGTTTCCAGGGAGAACCGCGTGGAGGCCGACCTGATGGGGTATATTGATAGCAATGGGGACTAACCTCCCCTTTACTAACCATCCCATTCCACCGCAGTTAGATTAGGATGGCTGATAGGTTTTGATAATATTTTAAGAAGGTTTCCCTCGACCTTTAAACCCACACGACACGAGACACCCACGAAAAAGTAAAGTAAGACTTATTCAGCGCAGTTCTAACTTTTTTTTATTGATAGGTAAAAATGGAATGGTACCCCCGCCTGCGCTAACGGGATACGCTGGCGGAGCACCAGTGAAGGGTGACAGATGAGAATGAAAACAGGCCAGTTAGCCCATCATGATGAATTCATCAGGAATTAACCATGACAGTTTCCAGGGAGAACCGCGAGGAGGTGGACCTGGTTGGATATATTGCTAGCAATGGGATTCTCAGTCTCCATTACTAACAATCCCTTTCCCCACCGCAGTTCTAACTAGCATAGTTTATCAGAAACTATGCTAGTTAGAACTACGCTGAATAAGTAATAAGTAAATTATCAAAAAACCACCAAATAAGAACTTAGTTTTGCGATCCAGTTACTAATCACAAATATGGCTTAAAATAACAAAATTACGTATTGCAGTATCAATAATATTAAACCATTTAAATGTATATTTCCTTTAACAACTGAAATAAAACTAATTTTATCTCATATTATATGTACAGAACCCTCGGCGTGCGGGGGGAAAGGGATTGTTAGTAATAGAGACTGAGAATCCCATTGCTAGCAATATACCCAACCAGGTCGACCTCTTCGCGGTTCCCCCTGGAAACTATCATGGTTAAGTCCTGATGAATTCATCATGATGGGCTAACTGGCCTGTTTTAATTCTCATCTATCACCCTTCACTGGTGCCCCGCCAGCGTATCCCGTTAGCGCAAGCGGGGGTACCATTCAATTCTCACACATCAAAGAAAAAAAAAACCCTCGGCGTGCGAGTATAACTCGCACTTGGCAAGTTTTATTTAAAGTTTATCGTTATTAAGAACATATTACTTGGCGGTTCAAACCAGGTACTTACAGGGGGGAAAGGGATTGTTAATAATGGGGTCTAATAGCCCCATTGCTAGCAATATACCCTCTCAGGTCGACCTCCACGCGGTTCCCCCAGGAAACCATCATGATTATTTCTTGCCGAATTCATCATGGTGGGCCAACTCACCTGCATTCATTCTCACCTATCATCTTCCACTGGTGCCTCGTCGGTGTATACCGATAGCGCGAGCGGGGTTGCCATTCCATTTTCACCCATTAAAAAAAACAGGTACTCACAGATCTAAAATAGCTCGAGTGTCCAAAAAAATCTAACAAAGACGGGACATCCTGACTAGGGGGGACATGACCTCATCTATTCATAGAATAAAGGACTCATAGAATAATCAACTGTCCACTGCTGGATATAAGCCTTCCCCATAAGAGGAGTTTTGCCAGTAGTTGCCACGCTTGGCAAGCGGTTTGGCAACCGCAGTTAGACTTTTAGAAATGTTTAAGAGGGATGCCGCTGCCCATTCCTCACTCTCAGTCGCGTCTTATGACACCCACGGGAAAGGAAGGGGCGGCCCATTCTACGCCGGGGCACACACGGCAAAATGAATGACACAAAGTCGATTGCTTGGGCACCTCTATCCCTTTCGTGTTTCTACCAAGTAGAAACTACTGCTTCACAGTCATGCAAACACTACTATGAACCAGTTGTGTTTGCATGACTGTGTTTCGGTTTGAAGGTACATGGCGTGAATTTACAGGGTACAGAGGAATAACATCTGAGTCCTCAGGAATGGCAACGCATGGGGGGTATCATGGGCGGAACAGTATGCTCAGTTATGTCCATGGTATTGCTCATGTCTATAGGCGACGGTAACCACTTTCAATCAGGTGGGCCGTCAGCTTGTTTGCCATTCTAAGTTGTATAAAAAAAAAAATTTAAAGAAAAAAGTGCGAGCAGAATCCCTCGTGACAGTATTTCTGTATATATCTAGTTTTTAACAACAAACGATGTAAAACTATCGCACGACGGATGTACGATATCTGTGTTCCGCTACAGGACGATAACAGAACATTTAGGCCTCTAGCCAGAGAGTAAACGAACCCATTATATCAACGGACTTACGACACCGCGTGATAACCTCACGACCATCCGCCAAATATCGTTACTAACTGTCAAAATACTAAAATAAACAGCTATTAAACAACACTAATCGAGATTACACGGGTCATTACGCCGGAACATCGGCTCCTTTGCATTTTGTGTACATTTTAAAGATTACAATGTTTGTATGTAGTACAGGTATTAAGATATTGTATTATTTACATACATTCCTATTGTCAAGGACATAGTACATACAGCTTAGATGTGTATCTAAACATCAACTTTATAATTTAACATTCACACCACATACAATTTCAAAACACACGAATACATACTTTATTTTCTTATCAAATTTAATTAGTTTACACTAATTTAATTAATAAACGAGTTGTAGTAAAAGTTTGACAACCCTATTTACCTAACTCGTGCACTGCACTTTAAGCAATAGTCTATGCTAAAGCTCTGTACACACAGACGCGAGAGATCCACGAAATTTGTTCACAAGTAAAAAGTTGTGTGAAAACTTACCTGTGGCCTGCCGTCGTTGCTGTAACAGGGTGCTAGTCCGGTCCGTGGCGTGTGGTAGTAATCCTGTGCCGTAACTATTATGACTAATGTTAGAAAGTGTGTGTAGATGAGAGGCCGCGCCATTTTGAGGGAGCGCACGAACCCACGTCGACGCGGCTGCTTGCCCGGCGAGCACTGACGCCAGGCTTGTTTCACAATACCATGCCAAAGATTAAAGCATCTAGACACACGTCACACAAACTTTGTCTCCGTGAGGACACAATATTAAATTAGAATGAAAATTGATTCTTTAGTTTATTTTTAAAGTTTTATCTTCTTATTCATAAATAAAGTATAATTCTGTAATAACAGTTTAATAGCGATGTCAGATATAGATGGTCTCAAAACTTATCATAAAATTGTAATAGCAAATTAATTTTTTGCATTGCAATAAATGCATTTTAGCAAACCAATAAGACGGAAACGTCAACTGGCATTCCTATAAAATTTTAATACACTAATGTCTACTGTAGGAACGTTTTAACTTCAAGATGAGGTGTGATAAATTAAAATAATGTATTATATTATACAATTCCTTCGTTTTTATGGTCTAAAACATGAACTAGTTAAAAATCTGCAGTTAATTAGGAAAAATTGCATATTATAATACGATATGCACGTCCATCCTAAAGACATGTTCAAGCAACATTGTAATCGCTTAGCCTCGTCCATATCTATTAATAATGTTCATCTATCTATTTGTTTTTCAATCAAAATAGTTATAATTATATTTTTCTAAATGTTATTATAAAAATATAATAGTAAGAGTAGTACATTAAACAAGATTTTTATTAAAATTACGTAATACTTTTGACAGCTAACAGCTGACCGTATATGATTTATATAACTCTGTATATATAAATGTATTTTGGTTCCTGAGGGCTAACCGAGTGTTTATAAATAATTTTAAATGTTCAATAGTATTATTTAATATTTTAGCTAAACGTCCAATATTTTTTTTTTTTAATAAGACTGTTAATATTTTTATATCAGTATTAATTTATATTATTAGTACAATATATTATGAGTAACTTACAAACAATACTCACTCTTGTTTTATAACAAATTTATATCTTTTTTGACTGTGAATTTTTTTGACCTAAATAACTTCAAAACAATCTTTTTTAGCCTCATTTAATTTTCGAATTAAGTTAAATAGGTTATATAAAATAGAATAGAAGAAATGGAATAACTAATGGTATTTTTGAAAGTATTTGGTCCGCGAAGAGTATATGGACAAGGATTATATTTTGTAACGTGAATCACTATTCACTATGCTACTATATGTTGGTTTTTATATATGTAGATTCTGTTACAGTATATATGTCAAGTAGTAAAATATAATTTTATATCATACTTTTAGCGATAACACCGCCCATTATTTTCTCAGTATGATGATTTCTAGTAATTATTTGTATTTATAAAAATTTACCACTGCTATCTTTTTGGAAGAAACAATACAAAGTATCTATCTTACTAATGCATCTTTTTAAACGAAAATTAAACATTTTTATCAGATGTCATTTGTACAAGAACACTAATAAAAATTTGTTTAGGTACAAAACACAAACGGAACGCAACTGATGTCTCTTCTTGTATTTTTTTTAATCTATGCCCGTCTTCTCGACTCAGAGAACGCGGCCCCATAAAGCCGACCGTTTTTTTTGTGGACAGACCTGAAAGGTCCGCGCTTTTGTTTCTGTCAGAATGCCACCATATGCTGTGATTCAAGGAACAAGTCAGCGAACCGAATAAACTTTGTTGGGTTGTAAAACGGCACATTCGTTTGTAACAGGACAAGTTTTGAGTGCATCTAAATTTATGGCATCATCAAATTGTTTGAGTTCTTTTTTTGAAAATTCGAATTTGAGTAAAGTGCCTACACATTGAAAGCCAGTCTGTTTCATTAGCAGGCTTTGTCTGAATATTTAGCTGAGTCGACTGAGTGCATTAGGTCATGCAGCCCTACTATCTCTTTTGCGCCCGTGTGCTTCATCTCTTTTGCCCCAGGGCCTGCTGTGCCTGGGAGAGCGGTGCATCTGCGCCTGCCCGATTCCCAGGGTGCACTGATGGTATGCTAAATAGTTATGTATGTGCAATTAATTCCAGCTTTATTGATTGTTCATCGAAAAAGGATAATTAAATATAATGGCATATGCATTTTCCCGGGCAACGGTGAATTTTACCTGTTATGTCTTTACATTTACCATATATGTATCTTTGATACGTTGTCTGGTAGGAATCAATATCTCTCTAAGTATATTATTTATTTATACTTTATAGACTACATTTAAAAGAATATATGATACAAAAGGACTAAACTTATGATATATAGAATTGTCTTCCAATTAATCTATCTTCACGCTAAGCTCCTTACAAGGTAGGCAAAAGAACACAACTGTAAAATTCACATTACAGACATTGCATGTTTTACTCACTTTCACAACGTGATTAAATGGATGAACCCAATTCGATGAAATTTAGTATGAATACAATGAAAATAAAAAACTAACATTTCTTATATATATATATATATATATATATATATATATATATATATATATATATATATATATATATATATATATATATATATATATATATATATATATATTTATTTATTTAACACTTTATTGCACCAACATAATAGGATTTGTTGAACAATTTTCAATACGTATAGTGTATAATGTATACAATCTTTGGAAGAAGGAATTAAAGCATAAATAGGTACGTGGCGCGATAAAAAAATAAATGTGTAAAAAATAATACAAGCCTTTAATAAGATGCACGGGAAGGAGAGGGTGGCCCATTCTATAGCGGTGGTCCCGTCACACCACCTGAGTTCTCAGGAATGGCAACGCATGGGGCGTATCATAGGCGAAACAGTATACTCTGTTATATCCACGGTACTGCTCATGTCTACAGGCAACGGTTACCGCTTTCCATTAGGTGGGCCGTCAGCTTGTTTGCCATTCTAAGTTGTATAAAAAAAAATGGAAAGGCAGATCAATTAGCCCATCATGATGAATATACCTGGAATTCAACACGATAGTTTCCAGGAGGGCCACGTGGAGGTCGATCTGACAAGGTATATTGCTAGCTATAACCATCGTGGTTAATCTTGATGAAGACATCCGACCTGCTTTCATTCTGACTTATCATCCTTCACTGGTGCCCTGACAGTATATAGTGATAGTGCAGTGGAGGAGGGCGGGGGGAGGGAGAGCGTCGCCATTCCATTCGGCATTTATTAAAAAAAAAAACTAAAATAATGTTTTTTTTTTAGATAGATACGTATGTAGGAGTATGTGACATTTTCCATTTTAAGCACGGTAAAATATCAGACCTAAATGCCACTAACACGACACTGGCCAGTGGTTCTCAAACTATATCGTAAATTGTTATTAGACACGAGACACGAGACACGAGACGCGCGTCTGGCGGCATAACTGCAAAACAATAGTTAAATATTTACTCTCAAGACACCTTCTGCTGTAACATATAATAGAGAATTTTCTTCGAAGTTATAATTTATCTTTTACTTTGTTAAAGTTGCATAACTATGCACGCAACTAAGTTACATTAACTTACTTTGTTTGTTGTATCTTAACATGCATTAATTTTTTATTTATAAAATACTAGCTTATGCCCTCGTTTTGCTCGCTTCATTCATCATCTTCAATCTATAAGTCGTTAACTGTCCACTGCTGAATATAGACTTCTCCCATATCTAAACGGGGGGGGGGGAAAGGGATTGTTAGTAATGGGGACTGAGAATCCCATTGCTAGCAATATACCCAACCAGGTCGACCTCCTCGTAGTTCTCCCTAGAAACTACCATGGTTAATTCCTGATGAATTCATCATGATGGGCTAACTGGCCTGTTTTCATTCTCATCTATCACCCTTCACCGGTGCTCCGCCAGCGTATAGCTCAACTTATAGCTCACTTTAGTCGATTCTAATGATTCATCTTAAAGATCGTATCAGATACTAAAAATACTCTACATTATCTGTTTACAATTACATCATCGAAAGAATGCGCTGCACCTACAGACAAAATAATACAGGCAGTGTTTTATACTTGGGCTGAGGCAAGATTATGTCATCTGAAACATATGTTAGACATCTGTGCGCCAAACATTGGCTTATAAAAATAGGAGTAACTTTATTGGCCGAAGATCACTTATCCCAAGATATATCTCAAAACAATAGCATTAAATTCACAAAAAAAAAACTCTTTTTTTTTTTTACATAATATTCTTTTTAATCCTGATGCTTACCCTAAAGGTTTTAAACTTTTAATTCGTCTTCTCTACCCATACTTTAATACTAGGCTCTTCCGGAAACCTTTCCCTATGACACCTTTTCATTCCACTAAATTTTATCACAATTCCTTCACTGTTTCTAGCATTACACCACCAGAGGGAGACTTTGTACAAAAGTCGATTGCTTGGGTACCTCTGTCCCATTCGTGTTTCACCCGTGAAGCAGAATTTACATGGTACAGAGGAATAACACCTGAGTCCTCTCTGGGGTATCATGGGCGAAACAGTATATTCTGTTATGTCCATGGTACTGCTCATGTCTATAGGCGACGGTTACCACTTTCCATCAGGTGGGCCGTCAGCTTGTTTGCTGTTTGTTTGTTTCAATTCAAGCAGTACATTCTTTACATATAATATATGTTTTTAATAATCGTAAAAAACTATTTACAGTCGACTTCAAAAAGAAGGTTCACAATAGTTATTTTTTTTATGGTTGTTACCTCATAACTCCGTCGGTTCTAAATTAATTTTGAATTTTTTTTTTTTAAGAAACAATATACTTACGGATTGATCATATAAATTCAATAGTTTTTAGACCAAAGTAACTGGAATTGAAGTCGGTATATATATATATATATATATATATATATATATATATATATATATATATATATATATATATATATATATATATATATAAAATAATAAAAGTGAGTTTGCTTGATTGTTTTTACTTAAAGCGTTAAGGTTATATGTTGCCTTATAACCTTAACGGTTTAAGTAATCTTTATGAAATTTAGTATATACGTTCTATATGAGATAAAGATGGATATAGTTTTTATTTTATTTCGATCAGTAAAGA